TGCATGGGTACCAGTACATATATCACATACCCAAAATAGCACTCATGATTGAGTCTTCGAGTGATGGGCGGGATGACATCATAGCACATCACTGAATGTCCCATAACATAGGGACAATGAGTGACAAAAGCTACAGCGTTATGGAGGACTCTCCCAAGTGCATTATATCTATTAACCTCCATAATCTCCCAGGCAACCATTAAGAAAGGTTCTTGTGCTGCCTGCTGTTTGGGACTGCAGAATTAAGCGCTGAGATCAAGTGACTGTTTGAAGGACTCAGGGCAGGCAAGGCAGCGGAGAATGTGCAGGTCATTGCCTGCACTTTTTCCATTCTACCAAGTGCTTTTTATTTTCCCTTCCTTTCTACAAGGCCTGTGGGAGCAGGTTAGAGGGAGATGGGTCTCAGGCTGCCCTAGATCTACTAAAATCTGACAAAGCCATGGAGCACAAAGAGCTCTGGCCCTCCCAGTGTCACACTGTCTTTGTACCCAGTTTCTCAGTCTAGAAACCTGCACATCCTGGGGTCGCAGCACCCAAACAATTGCCCAGTGTCTGTCAGGTCACTTAGGTCCAGGCTCAGATCTAACTCTCCTGGTTCTTCTTCCCGCCTGTGTAACGATAAGTCTTAAGATAAACATACACAAAAGGACATCCCCCCATCACATCTGTCCCCCCAAGTCACCACAAACACTTGCCTTAGGCAGTCAGATCCAGGTCCTTAAGGCAGGTAGCTATGGCAGCAAGAGAAAACCACCCCCAGCCAAAGCAGCTGGACCAGTCCAACTAGAAAGAAGCCACAGCCTCTTCCTCACTCAAAAAGCGGGAGAAGCCTGAGGGTGGCTTTTCAAACAAAAGGCCCAAGTGAGTCTACTGGAGGAGGACCAAGGAACCAACCTCTGGGAAATCCCCTAGCATTACACCCCAGTCTGGCCACCATAAAGGGGATGCAGACATTCACAGACATTCACAGATGAGGTGTCCCTGCCTGATCAGATAGCACAGGTCACATGATACTCTTTACTTTTTCACAAGTGTCAGGCTCATGGTTTGAGGCACTTCCTATTTCAAGAGAGGAAACCAAATCAGAAAGGCGAAGGTGTTGGCGCAGGTAGCTGCTTGGTCCCAGAGGAATGGAAAAGAACTGAGTGGCTCCTCATGACGGCAACAGCAGCTCACCCTGGATGGGCCTTCCAGTCTTCACCTCCTTCTCCAGATAACATCATTTCTTCTAATTTTTTTTTTTTTTTTTTTTTTTTTTTTTTTTTTTTTTTTTTTTTTCTTGAAACATGGTCTTTTTGTGTGACCCTGGCTATCCTGGAACTAGCTCTATAGACCAGACTGGCCTGGAATTCACAGAGAACCACCTGTCTATGCCTCCTGAGTTTTGGGCTTACAGCTCCACATACTAGTACCTTGCTTAAAAAAAAAAAAAAAAAAAGAAAAAAGAAAAAAAAGAAAAAAAAAAAAGGCACCTTTCTCCTATAGCGGGGCCCAAGCCAGGCCCTTGAGTAGCAATGGTGCCTGGCCTTGCATTAAGAAGCATATGATTTGGCCTCACCTTCAAATTACTTAAGGTTTAGGAGACAGTGCAGAACAGAGGAATGTTCTCTCTCCTAAAAACTCCTTCTGCAGCAGCCAGACTGCCCAGCATCCCATGAACACCCACTCACTTCGCACCTCTGTTATCTGTGCTCACGTTGTTCCATCTGTTTCCTTCCACTGCAGGAACCCACCCACAGGCAACCCACACCACAGCACCCAGCTTCAGCATCCCCTGTGCGATGGAGTCCACAGGGACCTCTCCCTTTCTAACCTCCATTAGCAACAACAACTCTCATCGAGTCCCTCACATCTCATTGGCTACCTCAGGCACATCTTACATGGAGAAGGACTGTAAGACCTTTAGTGGGAGCAGTGGCACAACTGTAGTCAACCCCTTCTACCTAAAGGGTGCTTTACCAAGTGCTTTCAGATGTTATCTCATTTTGGCAATAGCTCTTTATTGCCCATGCCTTGCTTCCTCAACTAGATCAGAGACATTTGTGGGCAGGAGAGGGTAGACTGTAATGTCACTAGAATGCCTAGCATGGTCCATCATGGGAATACTCCATTACATTAACAGATGAGAAAGTCTTCAGGAAACTGCAGAACACTAATGCTCTGGCTGCTCCGCTCCCCACCAACCCTCGCCTGGGAGCACAGCTGCACTGAAAGGAGACTAGCTGGCACAGACCTAGCTTCAGGGTTGAAAGATGGAGAGGGCATTGGTGCCTCAGTCTTCCTGGCTGGCTCTCTCATGGAACGTTTCTGGCTCTTATGGAGAATATACAGGAAATTATCAAAGAATCAGCCAAGAAGATATCAACATGGGCCAAGAATCTGAACTCTTGTCTTGGCAGCAATCATTTGTTTGCTCCATTCGTGAGACAAACAAAACAAATGAGGAAAGATGCCTAGATCAACGTCCAGTATGGAATCCCCCAAGCCTACCCTACAGGGCACACACATTTTCTTAGTGGATAAATTACAAATCTGAGCTGGTGCCCCCATTTCCTCGGCTCTTTGATTTGTCTTCTGGCTGTCCCTTCCTTGGGAAACTTTCCAAATCACCAAAGGAAACAGCTTCTCTGGACCATCCAATTCTTTCTCTTCAGTATAGTTAATGCTGGAAAATGTGGCTAAGACAGGGAGAAGCACATGCCCTCCCATCAGCTTTAAATAAAAAAGCTCTTAAGAAACCCGTTGGGGCAGATTTGAATGGCTGGAGTGAAGGATGACAGATTTCTTTGTCTTCTGTGGACTTCAGCATCCTAAAGGTGTCTGCGCATCATGTGGAAAGGGGTACCTGGCCATCTTCTGATGGCAGAGAACAGACTCCAGGAACAGGTTTTAGGCCAATATGCCAAGGCTGGGGTGGGAATGCTACAGAAGCATGCCAAGCAACTCACTGATTCACCACTGCCCCGAAGTAGTGCACTTCAGAGGATTTCCGGGGAGATCCCTACCAGCTGGAAGAAGATGGCTGAGAGAGGTTAGGAGGCAGAAAGACAAGGGTTACTGGTTAGACATGTGGGGTGAAGGATGGTTCTCTTTCATGGAAAGCGCAGCCTCTGCAGGGCCATTCAGTATTTCAGAAACAGGTCCCTTCATTTCTCTGCTGAAGAAGGGGGCACATGTTTCCTGGGGGAAGCTAACCCCTCACACACTAGGCAGGAGTCTCAAGGTCTTCTGTAGTGATGGGAACCAATCAAGCCCTCCAAGGGAAAACTCCAGGTCACTCCTAGGACTTGTAACCATGACTCCAGGCTGCAAAGTACTGCTCTTCAGGCAAAATCCAGGCACACACATCTCCCAGCCCTTGGCTCATTGTAGACAGCTCAACAGTTCCTGGCCTCAGACCCTTGTCAAGGATATTCAGGGCAAGTTTCCATAGAAGTAACCTGTTGCCCTTTGTCCCCAAGCCTGAAAGCTCTCTCATATCCCATCTGGTTCCTCAGCCACTCCCTGCCTCACTCCCATGACTTTCCCCAACACCTGCCTCATCCTCAAAGGGCTCCAGAGAGGCAGGCAACCCTCTCTTAGGCAAGGCTCATTGTCTGTCCCTTTCCCATCTCTTGAAAAATGGTTCTTATTCAAATAGTGGTCCAACCCAGATCCTAGGTCTCTTAGGAGCTGGCTTTAGTGCCCCAGAGAAATATGGACAAGTTTTGTTCTCTGGCTCCAAGTGACTTAGAGAGCAAAGCACATAAGGAGACCTTAAGAGCTCAATGAGAAGGACAACCAGCACTCAACCAGTGTCCCACTCAAGCTAAGTGCTTTACAAGCATTCATTCATTTAATCTGTACACCACCTTGGGAATGTCTCACTATTAGACCCATTCAACAGATGAGACACTGAAGCTCAGAAGTGTAAGTCATAGGCAAGGCTGTCCCAAAGGGAGGTCTCCTGGTATGCCTGACCATGCTTGCCTCTTAGCCACAAACAGGGTTCTGCTCCTGACTACAATTACCCTCACCTTCTCTCTTGGCAAGGAGTGTGTTGGGGGAGGAGTGTGAAGGAGAGAAAGAATCCTTAAAGAGGAAGCTGGGAGCTAGAGCCCTCCTGGAAGGCAGCAAGGTTCCTACTGGATGATCAGGCAGGCAGGTTGTTTCTGCCAGGAGCCATGAGAAGGCTACTTCAGAGCTGATCAAGTCTGGTACCCTGGAATCAGATATGAGTGGAATCCCCTCAAGTCAGTACTTCTGGAAGAGAGGGCCTTCCTTCCCTTGCCCATGAAGGAGAGACCACTGACTTACTCTCAAAATAGTGACCCTCCTGGCCTTGCCAGGGTATTACCAGGCCTTTGTCCCGGAATAAGGTTTGTCCTGTCCTGTCTACTTGCTGACCCCCTGGTCTGCATGAATATTCCCGATTTTCCTTTATCCTCCTTGAAAACAGCCGCTAGCTTTTATTTATTTATTTATTTCCTCTTGAACAGTTGTATCTCTACCCTCTTCCAGGTATCTTGTGGCTTTACCTTCACAACAGCCCTGGAAACTCTGTTCCTTCGACCAATGTCTCCCTCTGCCTACTCCCATCCTGGCTCCACATCGACTCACCCCCAAGGGTACCTCACTGACTTACTGACTGGTCCCCACCCCAATTCCCTTTTCCTCCCTGTGGGTATATCACTTCACTGGCTGAGTCTCGCTGCCCCAGCTCAAGGTACCCTGGCCTACACCCGCCTCGGTCTTCTCATGTTGGATGGGAAGGCTCTCCAGTCAGAAGGCTGAACTCCCACCCCTAGTTTCTGATTGCAGGCAGCATGTACCCCTCACCTGCAGGAACCGAGGCTCAGGGCCCCAGTCGGGGGACCTCTCACCCCTAGGTGTACTCCCTCTCCATGGCCTCCCGTGCCACCGCCTGTATCTTGAGGGGCGCATAATCCCTCCCGGGCTGGGGATGAAGAAGCAGCCAGCGGGAGGGGAGGATGGGGCGCCCCCGGGCCACCGCCCCTTACCGATGGTGGAGATGTGCGAGGAGTGGAACTCGTTGTCGGTGAAGCGGCAAAGCAGGCAGGTCTTGCCCACCCCGGAGTCCCCAGCC